TGGAAGAAGGGAGGGAGGATTATTTTAATAAGTTACAGCAGCTGTCATTATTACAGTCTGCAGTCAGGAATTCCATTCTCCAACAAAGGATATGTGTTGCTGCATTAAAACTACAAATTAATCTAAAGAGATTTTTAAAACTGTTGCCTAATTTAAAAAGACAAGCAAATGTAAAAAAACTGAGTCAGAAACAGTATACAGCACAGAGAATAGATACTGTATAATAAATGAACAACAAAAGCATCATGCAAAAAGAAGACTTAAGGACTGGGCCATTGGGGATTTGATCTCACCTGGAAATGCCTGAGTTGCTGCCTTGGCAAAATATGCTGGAATTTTAAATGTCCAATAAAGCATGACATGTAAACTCAGAAAGTATGTGTAAACTTGTGGCTCCTCAGTTAAAGATTGTGGTCAACAAGGGATATTCAGCCATGAATAGTCTATTATTATGGCCCAGTTTCCATTATTAGTCCAAGGAGGAGAGTCCCCCTGCATACATAAAAGGGATTTTCTTTTTAAAAATAATCTTAAATATAATCAGTTACGGAATTTTATAGCGCAGAGCTGTAATAAACATGGTTCAAACAAGGAATCCCCTATTTAACTAAGAAGATGCACAAGCCATATTTTTATTATATGTTATGAAAACTGTATATTTTTGTTTGTACTCTTCAGAAAACCTTCTCCAAAGATAGCTTGTAAAGAAATAGTTGAAATATCAGAGGAAGAGAAGACATTTGAAAGTGGGAGAAAGCAGGTCAAATGACTATTTGTGTTTACAGGTTAATAGTCCTTTCCCATCCCCAACTAAAGGCAGAGGGGATGGTCAAACCCAGAGGGAGAAATGAAGCGAAAGAGGAGCTTTTCAATTTTAAAATAAAATAAAATAAAATAAAATAACTGCAGAAGAGAAAGTACTAAGAGAATTGGCAATCTTTTTTTTTTTTAATGTTAATTATATATTTAATGCTATCTATGCCAATCTTCCATCAAGATATTCTTAGTGTAGTGGGCATTGAAGCATAGCAGTTGTACACACTTATACAATAATGTTTTGTTTTATATGTATATGCATATGTGCATATAAATTAAAGCATTATTTTATATTAAAGCAAGAGGGTAAGAACTATAGTTAAATCTAACAATTACTAACAGTGATGACTTAAATAAAATGTGTTCATGGTTGGTGAAAACTTTGCAGTGAAGCAATGGATCAAACCTTTATTAGAAGAGAAGAGAACGCAGGAGCAGTGATTTTTGAAAAGGGTAAGTCAGCTTATCTTAGCCACTAGTGGAGGCTAAGAAATGAGAAGGATCACTTCCATTTCATCAAAAGAAACAGCATTAGGTCAATAATGAGGTGTCAATGGAAGAATTTGTGCATATTTAATAGAAACAAGATTCACTACTTCTGTTATATGTTAAACAACTGATGATTGAGTAGTACATATATTTATGCCTAATGTAGGAATAGTGAAGGTGAATGCTCCAGTAATGGCATATGAAATCCAAAAGAAAATTAAGGCATTCTCCTTAAACCTGAGTTCAATTTGTATAATAAAAATATATGCATTTTATTAAAAATTTTAAAGACAACTTAAAAACCAAAACTAATACAGAATAAAGAAAAAAAGAAAAGAACAAAGATAAAAGTGCAGAAAGAAAAGATAAAATGAAACCGAAAGAAGATTCCAATCTCCTTTGCAGCAAATATACAATGTTATCTCTCACTTTATGATTACAAAAAAGCTCAATTTTTCTCTGATCCATATTTTTCCTAATCATCAAAACCACAAGTCATAAGTGCATTTTTCCCCCTTCTGTTTCATGCAAAAAGTCTAAAAGGGGTTTCCAGTCAGCCATAAATGTAGATATTGTTTTTTCTTTAATCAAGGAAGTCAATTTAGTCATCTCTGCTAATTCCACCATCTTCACCAACCATTCCTCCATTGTGGGTAATGTCAAACTTTTCCACTTTTGAGCATATCATAATCTCACTGCAGTTGTCATATATAAAAACAAAGTTCCATGGCTTTTTTCCAGCTGTCTGTCCATTAATCTCCCCAAAAAAGCCTCTGGTTTCAATTGTACATTAGTCTTTAAAATTTTTATTTATTTATTTAGTTATCAAATTTATATGCCGCCCATCTCACTATATAAGTGACCCTAGGTAGCTTACAAAAAAAATAAATGTTTTGAATTAGTGTATTTATTTGTGCCCATTTTTGGGAGGGGGGTGGGGTTACACATCCACCAAACATGATAAAATGTCCATGTTGTTTACATTTTCAACAGAGATTCAAAGCATCTTTATACATTCTAGACAATTTCTCTGGTGACATATACCAATGATACATCATTTTTAAAAAAAATCTCTTTAAGGTTAGAACATAAGCCCAGAGTTGTTTGTTTTGTAAGATGGGCAGCTATAAATAAATAATACATAAATAAATAAAGTGAAATTCAATCCTTTCAACCATATATTTTCCCACTGATCCATTTGTATATTGCAGGCAAAAGTTTTAGCCCATTTTATCATACATTCAACAATATGGAAGTGTTTTTTTCACTGACTTTGCTCTCTCTTGCTCTGTCTGTCTGTCTCTCTCTCTCTCTCTTGTTTGACTGTCCAAGAGTTTACTTATGGTCTCCCTAGAATTTCTTGATTTGGGATTTTTTATCCAAACACCAACTAGATCCAACCCTGTTTAGCTTTTCAAGATCAGTCAAGGTTAGCTAGGTGGACAAGATTTAGACTGATTTTTAAAATCAAGGAAGTCATTTAAATTAAATGAGTTAAC